TACTCGAGACTTATCAGTTGTACTCGAGACGCATCAGTTGTACTCGAAAGATTAGCACTCTCCATTTGGAGTTTAAGTGTGTACACCCCATTCGTGGGGAATCCTCGGGTGTACCCATTGTGTGACCCCGGGCCGGCTCTGTCGGAAAATTTGACCTCAACGTGCTTATCAGAGAACAGCGGAATTTCACATTTAACCAGGAACGAGGTTTCACTAAAGGGAAGACAGCCATCAGACCATAGTGACGTCTCACCACAGCTGCTGGCTGCCGACTTTCATTGCATTTGCTGACCATTGGTTGAACTTGTTGCTCGTATCATTGCGGTTGAAGATTGCTGACTTGTATTTGCTTTGCCTTGTACATGTCGATCGACCATTGCAGCTGGGGGCCGTTGACTTGCATTTGCATTGATTTGAATGTTGTCGGATCCGATTCTCTCAAGGTGGAAGTGTGCAGATCCAGAGTCCGTTGCGTCACCATGTCTCGACGTGATGATCGTGATAGATCCAGGACTCGGCGCAGACGTGATCGGAGTCCGTCCCCTCAAGCTCACAAAGCACGCCGACATGAACACAATGACAACCAGGTCTCGGAGAACATGGATTGGAACAACTTGGTTTCATGGCAACACAACTCCGGCTACAACGCTGCCAGCAACTTTCCGGTGATACCTACCAACTTTCAATCGACTCACAATTCCACACAACAATTCCAATACCCAGCGATCAACTACATGATGCCGATCCCTCCAGACCCCACGCCAACCAAGTTCATGCCACCAGTGATGCCACCACCGGTTACTACTTCCCAACCTACACCGTCACCCGGACCTCCTGCGGCTCTACCGGTTCGTCCTCAGAAAGCCTGGCTTACTCCCTCGCCTGACTGGACACCTGGAGACGGCATGTTTGATGTCAATCAACTCTACACCTTCAGCCTGCCCATGACTGTTGCCAACACTCCGCATGGCAACCTTCGCGACATGTCAGGCATGGATATTAGGGACGTACGCCTGGTTCAGGTTATCCACGGGGGCCTCACCAACTGGCTACTCAGGCCGTTTGCACACGGCCGATTCGTGACGTGGGAAGGCTTTCGCACCCACACTGAGGCCTTACTTTGGAGTACCTGCTCCAAATTACTACGAAGATCGCAGTCACTCAACCTGCTCACCCTGGAAAAGGACCTTGCCAACACGCTGGGTCTCAACATCGACGACTTCAATCAGCGCATCAAGGTCCACGACCATTTGGCCAGCTTGGTACTTCAATTTCTTCAGCAACATCACACCTCTCTCGCACCTGCCACCCAGACAGATGACATGGTCAAAAAGTTCAATGATCTAAATCGTGCGCACGAACTTCTCCAAGCTCAGTATTCCGCATCGCTTCGCGCATCGACCTCTCCCACGATGACAAACCAGAAGGATGATGCAGAGTTGGTTACACCGCCACCGGTCAACCACACACCATCCTCGTCACCTGCCAGCTCCCTTCCCACAGCCAGCGCGGCCGCCCTGGATGGCAAGTCGTTTGATAGCGTGGTGCAACCTCGGATCATGCAGTCTCTTCACGGAGTGTCGTCACCGCCGCCCAAACCGGCGGCGTCACAGTTGCTCACCATGCACAGCACGCCGGATGAAGTTGTCAAGTACTACACATGGACCAGTGACCAACCTCGCCTTTTCCTCAAGCAAGCACCCACAACAACAACTTTGGCGTCGCTGGTTAAGTGGGCCAATCACCCGTCCCGGCTCAACGGCAACAAGTCATTAGATTCTATGGCGACGCAGCTCCTTCAGGCGCGTCAACGCATGCCGAAAGGCGACGCACCCACTCTCGGGGCGATGGCGGCTTCGTGGGGACTGGAGCCCGGCTATCTTACCAAACTCACTGAGAAGGCATTGAGTCACCTCATCGTGACCGCTCGCCTACTCTGTGGATGAGAAGGCATCATGATGACCTTCGTTCTCTTATGAGCCCGGAGCGGCAACAATGTCACGGATGAGTCCAGGTGAAAACTCGTCCGTCAAGTGTCTGCGTTGCACCAGATTGATCTTGTACTTGCTCGTTCTTGCATTGCCTCTTGTGTGATTGTCTGTGATGCTTGTATTCATGTCGCCGCCTTGTGGTAGATTTCGTTGGTTGCATCTCACCATGTTGGATGAACTTCGCCGCTGCGGAATCTATGATGATGTTGCACAATGGCAGTCGCTGGACGACCTTCTGCACTCGTTGACCATATTCTCTACGTGCTGGCAGTACTGTTTTCCTGGACTACCACCACCGTCGATTCCAACGGAGGAGTACGAATCCATCACACAATTGCCGTGGCTGGGTCTCATCCTCGAGGTCTTAGTTGTGGTCCGGATAGCCCTTCAGATTCCGAATCACGCTATGTCAAACTCTCAGCACACCGTGGCCAACAGGTACGAGCTTCACAGATGTCGGTGCACTGCCTATTTATTGATTAGTTTCTTACAACGTCTCATTTCACAAGATCACGGCTACTTCCCACCGTTCTTTGAAGTCCTGCACTTCTACAAGACTTCTCTCTTGTGTGAAATCGTGCACTTGGCACTCTACTTTCGCTGACACGCGGCATCTACGCTCATTGCGGGCGCGACTTCCTGACCTCTATGACTTCATACATGATCCAGGTCATCACCAACAACCGTGCGTCTACATTCGACTTTCCCCATGGCACACACCATACTATGTTGGGGCGACTGATCAGGATGTTCTACGTCGTGAACACTCACGCAGTCGCAAATTTCTACAACTACTTCGTGGACGGCATGCCTTCTTTAAACCAGCGCTTCACTACTGGAAGAGATCCAATACTTACTGGCTCTTCTGTGCTGTTCCAGTGGAAATCAAACTTCCTGTTTCCTCGGTGTGGGTTCAAGAAAGCAAATGGCAATACCTGCTACGCCCGCATTTGAATGCGCCCTGGGTACACAGAATCTTGCGCAAGGTGGGCTTCCGGGAACATCTCGTGGATTTTCGACGTCACTCGTTGTCTTCTCCCACTTCCCTCGGCTTGCACAAGCGCTTTCGACGACGACTACATCCGGATCTCCAACGGCAACTACGACCTGACATCCTGGATGACATTCAAGCCCATTACTCGATTCTCTATCAGCTGGGATCGAATACAGGAGCGTCGTTCCAAGTCATGCGTGACCTACTGTCGGCCGGCTTTCCCTCCCACTCAGCTGTACTACTTATTGCGGCTCGCAGTCTTTGTCAACGAGCCCTTCCGCTCCAAGGCGCAGAAACTCCTCGCCCAGGTGCTGCGCAAACGACGGCTACAACCACCCACCACTTTGACACAGCTACTCTTACCGCCGCTACATGTCCGGAATTGGAAAGCTCTACTTGGCACATGGTTACAAAGCTGGATTGCTTCTCATCGGGATCTGTTCCCTTCTCTTTTCATTCCAAAGATCCGGGTGGTGGAAACTCGCAGCGCCACATTGGGCGACAAGATATACAACTATCGCACATGGCAGCGCAAATGGACTCCTGACACATCCTTTCCGTGTCGCTGTTTGGACATCGATGATCACCATCTACATCGTGCACATGGCCACGCAGTAATGGTGGATGAGTTTTCTCGCATCAATGCGGACATTAACGTTGAAATCATGGCCGCCTCAATGAAGGATCAGTTTTTCGGTGATGTCGACTTATTGCATCAACGTTTCACCACACAACTTCGCAAACTTGCTCGCCGCTGGCATGTACATGGTTCCGGTCTACTTTCAGATCTACAGCCGGTTGTGACTCAGTTAATGGATACTCATCGGATGAACCTCCAAGATCGGGCTTATTGGTCATCGACATCGTTGCAACGCACTGTGG